GTCTGGACCTAGCAGAGAAGTGCTTAGGGTCAGTTCACAGCATGCTGAGTTATCTGCATCAGTCAGGGGAACATCCAAACTGAGAGATGAGGACCTACAATACAGAAGCGCTCATCGTGAGGTGACCAGAGGAGCCGGTCATTTCCAGGACGATCGTTTGGGCCTTTGTCACAGGATCTGGTGAGGGATTTTGCCCCCTGGCAGATGACAGGAACGCTGCACACATACAGAGACATCACGCTTTGCCCATACTCACCAGGCACCGGGTTGTGTAGATGGTCCTGCTAAACAGACACAGTATTTGCTTTGCTATACAAATCCTGCCGCGGGATTACAATGATACTTTACCATAGGAGTGTAAATGCACCAATGAAAGTGTCTCGCTGAAGATCCCAACATTCATCCTGTTACCAAGAGACTGAAGTTACTGGTGCCATACGGGCACGCGCATGCGTATTCAGGTCTCTATATTGCATGGTGTGTGAGGGAATAGCTTTACCTTGGAAAGTAGCTATTAACCTCCTTAGCGGTATTCCCGAGTGTAGCTCGGGGTAAAGTTTCAGTACCAAAAGCAGTAACCCCCCCGAGCTACACTCGGGCTTACCATGCGGCGTTCTCCGGGGGTCCCTGCAGCACTTACCTCGTCCTTCGCTCCCACGATGTGTCCCCTGCAGCGTCCCCCGCCATCTCCTCCGGCCGATGCCGGCATCTGGCTTCCGTGTTCCGGTCCCTGTGACGTTGGGACGTACGGGCGCCGGAACCGGCGGGAAATTTTAAATTTTAAAAAAATGTCATTTTTGCTGTCATTGCTGTTTCAATGCATTTCACATATATTTTGTCCCTACTGCTTTGTCCGGCGCCCTGCCTGCATTTTGACTGTTCTTTCTGCCTGGAAACTTAGAAAAGTCCACGGCGTCCAAAAAGCGTCCATTTACATCAAAAGCGGTTTTAGACCGGCTAGAGAACAGCGATAGTAAATCAGAACCACTTGCAGAATTGAGTGATAATGATTCGTGGGGGAAATTCCTCATCAGACACTGAAAACGATTTTGCGACTTTGCTCAGCGATGTGCGAATTTGCCTCTGTATTTCAAATTTCAGTGTTTTTGGTTTGATTATATTATTGAATACAATTTATTATTATTATTATATTATTATTTTTTATGATTATTTATTAAATTATAATTTATGATTTCGTGTTTCAAGTTTTATCCTACCCGGGATGTTTACTAGACTCTTGTTCGGACAGAGTTATTCCTAAAAATTACAGCCTACAATAAAAAACTACATATTTCTATGCAAAAAAATGGTACCGCTTTCAGCACAAAAAATCAGAAAGAATCAGACCGCCGAGGAGGTTAAGCATCAGTTGGGCACAGTGTTGGTACAGTGTTTGCCTACTAAGCTTGTGGTGTTGGGGGTTAGAAGGGAGAAGTCTGACACAACAGAGAGTCATTCTTCTGCTCTCCTCCTGCTTGGACATCATAGAGCCAAATTTATGTAAAGGAGTTTAGACCCACTTAGAGGACGCCATTTAAGTGTTGTCTCTGCTCTTGGAGTTATTCACAGCTGGAATCCCCTGAAAGCAGCCTTAGTGTAAAAGTGAGCTATATTGCTTTCAGTCACAGTATTTGCTGTTCTCTTGATTCACCTAACGAATACCTGTCGTTAATGTTTATTACTTCCCATAGAGGTCATACAGTAAAGCTGATCTCTGTGTTTTATTATAAAGTGTGTGCTTTTCATTGGTCCTTGCACTTACACTATTGCCAGGTGGGTCACTTGGGGCTGAGACAGTTCTTGGGGTTGAGAGGCAGAGTGGCGGAGTGAACAAACCTAAGCAGCCCCTTCGGGGGGATCGCTACACATGAAATCCAACCGCCAGCTGAAAACAACAATACCAGGGTGGTGCCTGTAGCTGCAGGCATCATCCCAGTATAACCACTCAAAGGCCAGTGATGTACCAGTACATTGTTGGCCCATGTTAGGCATATAGTATGTAACAGCAGAAAACACGGGCATATGATGTATCGGGTCTGTGGACCAATATGACCGCAATTCATTCTTTTTTGGAATGCTCATTTTGAGGCCCCAAAAAGTTTTAAATTCAGAAACCATTATAGGTTTCCATGCCAATTGTCTGGCAGAAGCTGAATTTGGGTGGGCAGCGATGTATTGTATGTATAAATTGCTTTGGCCCACAATCATTCATACTTATCTTCCGTGAAAAACCACAAATGATCCTGCTACCACTGTGTTTTTGGAAACACTATACCAGGGGTGGACTGACAACTCTTGGGACCCCGGGCAATAGGGGATCATGGGGCCCCCGTATCCTCGCCCACACCCAAAAAAGCCTATGACAAAATCAATGAAAGGTACTAGGGGCATCTCATGGGGCCCCCTACTGACCCCGGGCCCTCAGGCAATGCCCGAGTGCTCGAATGGTCAGTCCGCCCCTGCACTATACTAAGGAGGCACTAGTATAGTTCTGTTCGTGATCAATATATTGATCCGTACAAACACTATACTAGTAATGGGGGTGATCAGCGACCTAGAGCACGAGTGCGATAATGTGTGGGCAGTCTAACGCTAGCTGACCCTGGCTGGGAGGGGAGCTAACTAACCCTGGCACTCTTTGATGTCACTAGTGTCAGTAATACAGTGATCAGTGAAAAATTCTATATACTGACACTGTACTAATGGCACTGGCTCGGTGATGGGGTGATCAAAGGGTTAAATGTGCTACTTTAACATGTGTGTAAAATGTAGTGCCTTTACATACAGTGTGGTGTTCTCTCTTTTCTCCCCTGGACTGACAGGGGGGGGGGCAGTGGGGGTGTACGCATGAGCACGCACACCCGGAAACAGAATGCGATGTAAGGGTACGTCACTTTGCCCAGAGCCATCGCTCACCTGCAGCGGATGGGTGGGTGGGGGGGGGGTGACGGCAAGTACATTAAGAAAAAAAAATGTTCAATATTATTACATTCTTTTTCTTTTTTTTAATATTTGTTTTTTTAAATACTTTCATCAGAGTAGTGCAATGTTACCATAGTAACATTGCACTACTCTAGGGGATGATCAGGGATTTTCTTTTTTTTTTTTTACACTTTGCATTGCAGGAGCAATAAAGATTATTGCCCCTGCAATGCAATGCAATGCTTGCTTTGAACTGTCATGAATAAGTTCCTGACAATTCAAAATAATAGTGATCTGCGATTGGCTGCAGCTGGTCGCATGGTACAAGGAGCTGCAATTGGCACCACGTGAGAGCTGTGGGCCAGTCACAACTTGCCAGGAAGAGAAGCAAAGCTGCGATGAATCAGCTTTGCTAGCATTGTGATCATGTGATTGCATAGCGATCGCAAAGCGCTCACACTATCACCGGGTCCCGTTCATCGGGATTTTCATTCTGCTATGTCCAGTCCAGGGGCGGACTGACAACTCATGGGGCCCCTGGGCAATAGGGGATCATGGGGCCCCTGTATACTTGCCCAAACTCAAAAAGCCTATGAAATAGGTACCAGGGGCATCTCATGGGGGCCCCCTACTGACCCCGGACCCTCGGTCAGTGCCCAAGTTTCCAAATGGTCAGTCCGCCCCTGGTCCAGTGCCACAGCCGATGCGGGGGGGCTGGCGTGCTACCGGTACGTAGCTTTGCCTGTAGCTGCCGTTTGTCTGCAGTGCATTGCGGTTTGGAGGTCTTTAGGTGGTTAATCCACCATTTCGGAGATGCCTCCATAGGACAACAAAGTTGTTTGCTGACAAAGCTGTTAAGATGCAACTTGACTGGACATTCTAGGGGGTTTACTAAAGCTGGAGAGTGCAAAATCAGGCTCATTCCTGCATAGAAACCAATTAGCTTCTAACCTCAGCTTGTTCAGTCTGATTTTGCATTCTCCAGCTTTAGAAAATAAACCCCTCTGTGTCTATAATGTGCTGCGATGGAGCATGCTTCATAACTGCTAATGGGCTCTACAGGGAAGGAGTAGTTTACCTGGACAAGGGGGGTTCACTGTGATGGAGTAAAGCTCTTGAGTCTCTCATTAGTGTATGGGACCAACCACTCAGGGCTGCAGTCACCTCTGTCCTAGTATAGAATTTGTCCTTTGTATGGTGCCTGGAGCTAATATAAAAAAGAGAGGACTCTTGAGTCAAGCAGTTCCCCTATGATGTGGATCTGTGCAATAGTGAAGTGACTTTCTAGAAGGCCCTTGCAGGATTCTGAGGCTTAGATGAACCAGCTGGAAGGAGCTATTGCAGTTCTGATACAACCCAGTTGCTAGGAGGAACCTGGCCTTATTAACCACTTGCCTACCGGGCACTTCTACCCCCTTCCTGCCTACCGGGCACTTCTACCCCCTTCCTGCCTACAGGGCACTTCTACCCCCTTCCTGCCTACCGGGCACTTCTACTCCCTTCCTGCCTACCGGGCACTTCTACCCCCTTCCTGCCTACAGGGCACTTCTACCCCCTTCCTGCCTACAGGGCACTTCTACCCCCTTCCTGCCTACAGGACACATCTACCCCCTTCCTGCCTACAGGACACTTATACCCCCTTCCTGCCCAGTCCAATTTCCAGCTTTCAGCGCTGTCACACTTTGAAAGACAATTGCGCGGTCATGCAACACTGTACCCATATGAAATTGTTATCATTTTTTTCAGATACATAGAGCTTTCTTTTTGGTGGTATTTAATCGCCTCTTGGATTTTTATTTTTTCTTAAACAAACCAAAAACCACTGAAAATTTTGAAAAAAAAAAAAACATTTTTTCTTAGTTTTTGTTATACAATTTTGTAAATAAGTGATTTTTCTCCTTCACTGATGTGCGCTAATGAGGCTGCAGTGATGGGCACTGATAGGCTGCACTGATGGACACTGATAGGTGGTACTGATGGGCACTGATGAGGAGGCACTGGTAGGTTGCACTGATGGGCATTGACAGGCATCACTGATGGGCACTGAAAGGCAGCACTGATACATGACACTGATACATGACACTGATATATGGCACTGATAGGTGGCACTGATCGGCGGCACTGACTGGCATTGATCAGCGGCACTGACTGGCACTGATCGGCGGCACTGACTGGCACTGATCGGCAGCACTGACTGGCATTGATAGGCAGCACTGACTGGCACTGATAGACGGCACTGACGCGCACTGATATGCGACACTGACTGGCACTGATAGGTGGCACTGATAGGTGGCACTGATTGGCATTGATAGGTGGCACTGACTGGCACTGATGGCTGACACTAGCTCAGATGGGCACTGATATGTGGCATTGATGTGCACTGGTATGCACTGATATGTGGCATTGATGTGGTTCTGATGGGCACTGGCGCGTGGCACTGATGGCCACTGACAGGTGGCACTTCTGGGGCCACACTGATCATCAGGGCACACTGATCAGTGCCCTGATGATCAGTGTATATGTCCCCCCCCTGCGGAAAGCCGATTACCGGCTCTCCTCTCCTGTCAGCGTGACAGCTCGAGAGGAGAGAAATGCCGATAACTGACATTTCCGTGTTTACATGTGATCAGCTGTGATTAGACACAGCTGATCACATGACCAAGCCGACATCTTCAGCTCTTTCTGTGATCCGCTGTGTCCGAGGGACACAGCGCACCGGCGATCGCCGCGCTGTGCGCTCCCTGAGCTGCGCATGCGCAGTGAGAATGGTAGGATGTCATATGACGTCCTATCAGAACGAGATAACCACCTTGCGCCCGTCATTGTACTATAGGGCGGGGGGAAGGTGGTTAATCTGTCTCACATGCACATGCGTAGCTCATTGTACATTCGCTGAAGATGCCAAACATGTAAGAAAACTGGGCAATGACTGAAGGAATGGCTCACATCAATGAAGGATAGGAAAGTACAATTTAGTTCATTTTTATTTAAAAGAAAAAACACAACACATCTGTTCTCGTCCTCATCACATTTAGTTCTAGCAGTTCAACATAAAGGTAGTGAGGGTGCTGAGATAATTGGACCTTGTAGGCATACAACCTTTGGTACCAAAGCAATACTACTGTGCTAGGATCACCAGTGCTAAAGACCTGACTTAAAATATTGTGACAATTAAAAACTGCAAGTGTATGTGGAATGACTATATTTCTACAGATGATAAGAAGAAATGTGTGATCAGTATGTATACATAGCTGACATGGCTAACCTTGGTATACCTTTGCTCTGCAAATTGAACAAATGCATAATTCAAACTACACTCACCGGCCACCTTTTTAGGTACACGTGTTCAATTGCTTGGGAACACAGATTGCTAATCAGCCAGTCACATGGCAGCAACTCAATGCATTTAGGCATCTAGACGTGGTGAAGACGACTTGCTGAAGTTCAAATCGAGCATCAGAATAGGGAAGAAAGGTGCTGTTCGGGATCCGGGTATGACCAGAAATGTGTGGGAACACAGGCGTAGTCAGGGCTGGAGAGGTGGAATGGTCAGGCAGGCCATTAGGTACTGTACAGGGCGCGGGGTCTAAGTCCCAATTTGCTTATTCACCAGGGCCCCTGATGGTGGGGATGGACTTGGAGCAGACTGAGACTAGGTCGCGACCCCTGAGTACGTCCGGCAATGGTAAAGAGCGTCCTCAGAGGTTTGCGGGGAAAGGAGCCTGACGTGAAGAGGCTGGCAGACCTGGTAACAGGGACAGATCCGTGCGGGATGGATGGATAGTCTGGGTAGCGTCAGGCGTAGTCAGGCAGGCCAGGTCAGCAACGTGTGGGCAGCGAGGTACCGGAGGAGCAGGCAGAGAATAGTCAGGGTCACAAGCCGGGTTCAGTAACTCACGGGCAGCGCGGTACAGAGGATCAGGCAGAAGGATGGTCAGGCAAGCCAGGGGTTAAACAGGAGATGGTCAGCAGAGGTCAGGATCAAAGCAGGGTCAGCAACTAGGCAGATAGGCAGGAACACAGGATACCAAGTACAGGGGCTCATGGGAAACAATACACCAAGGCACTGACTGCAGGTCCGGCCATTCCTTAAATACACCTCCTGCAATCAGCCTCAGGTGATGGCTGATTGCAGGAGTGAGCTTCTGGTTGCTGAGAGCACCCGCTGGCCAGCCCTGGTACTGCAGCCCACACCGCAGGTGAGTCCCACCACCAGTGGTCAGTCCATTCCTGACAGGTGCCAGACGGGCTGATCTGAGTATTTAAAAAAAACTGCTGATCTACTGGGATTTTCATGCACAACCATCTGTAGGATTTACAGAGAATAGTACAGAGAAATGGTCCGAAAAAGATAAAATATCTAGTGCATGGCAGTGGTGCAGATGAAAATGCCTTCTTACATAGTTAGCATAGCTGAAAAAAGACAAAAGTCCATCTAGTTCAACCATTAAAAAAAAAAAAGTTATAATCCTACACCAAAAGTTGATCCAGAAGAAGGCAAAAAAACCCAGAAAAGCATGTCGCAATTTGCTCCTGCAGGGAAAAAGATTCCTTCCTGATCCCTCGAGAGGCAATCCCATATTTCCTGGATCAACTTTACCTATAAATGTTAGCATCCAGTTATATTCTGTGTATAAAGGAAAGAATCCGGGCCTTTGTTAAAGCAATCCACTGAGCTGGCCAGAAACCAACTCTTGAGGGAGTCTATTCCACATTTTCACTGCTCTTACTGTGAAGAAACCTTTCCGTATTTGGTGATTAAATCTCTTTTCCTCCAGATGTAAGGAGTGCCCCATTGTCCTCTGTGATGACCTCAAGGTGATATCAGAGGAGAATGGACAGACTGGTTCGAGATGATAGAAAGGCAACGTTAACTCATGTCAATATGCACCAAAATCTCTGAGGAATGTTTCCAACATCTTGTTGAATCTTTGCCACAAAGAATGAAGGCAGTTCTGAAGGCAAAAGGGGTCCAACCCGGTACTAGCAGAGTGTACCTAATAAAGTGGCCGGTGAGTGAATATAAAATCCATTGACCAGTTATTGGTTCTAAAATGTTTATCAACATAGTCCATGAAGTTTTCCATATTCTTTAACCACTTGCCCTCCACAGGATTTACCCCCCCCTGACCAGGTCATTTTTTGCGTTACGGCGCTGAGTTACTTTAACTGACAATTGCGCGGTCATGCAATGTTGCACCCAAATGAAACTTGCGTCCTTTTTTTCCCATGAATAGAGATTTCTTTTGGTGGTATTTGATCGCTTGCACATTTTTTATTTTTTACGGTATAAAAAAAAAAAAAAGACTAAAAATTTTGAGGAAACGGTATTTTTGTCTTTTTGCCATTAAACATATCCAGTAAAAAAATTTTAAAAAATAAAATTTCGTCATAAAGTTAGGCCAAAATTTATTCTGCTACATGTCTTTGGTAAAAAAAATCTCAATACGTGTAAATTAATCGGTTTACATGAAAGTTATAGCGTTTACAACTGGCGGTATATATACTGGGATTTTTTTTTATTTTTACAAGTAATGGCGGCGATCAGCGACTTATAGCGGGACTGCACTGACACTGAGGCGGAAGTGACTTGGTGTCACTGACATCCCCAGTGACACCAATACAGTGAACAGCGCTAATAAAAAGCACTGCCACTGTCCTATTGGCACTAGGCAGAAAGGGGTTAACATGTGGGGCAATCAAAGGGTTAACTGTGTGCTGTTTTACTGTGTGCTGTGTGCTTTACTGTAAGCACACTGCTTTGCATGGCTCTTCTATGCAAAGTCATGCATAGCAGTGTGCAGGATCTGATAGGGGAGAGAACTGTATTGTTTACTTACATTTCTCTCCCTCTGCTGGTAATCCTCATCGCTCACCTGGTGCCGGCGAGTAATCACCGGCTGGGACCTGGTGATTGACTGCCGAGGCCACAAATAGTGATGCAGGTAGGGCGCACGCGCCCCCTACCCAGACTTGCAAAATCACGTATAAACAGTATATGTGATTTTGCACACATGTGCCCCCCCTGTAGTAATATTACAGTTATAGGGCGGATGGGCAGCGGTTAAACTGTGTGTATAGATTGAATGACAGGCAATTTGGATGGGTATATTTAACACGATTCATGTGTGTAGGTATATTTATCATAAGAAGGTAGCATTATTATTACTATTAACCACTTCCAGACCGGACACTATTTCACCCCCTTCCAGTCCGGACACTTTCACCCCCTTCCAGTCCGGACACTTTTACCCCCTTCCTGACCAGGGCAATTTTCAGCTTTCAGCGCTATCACACTTTGAATGACAATTGCGCGGTCATGCAACACTGTACCCATATTAAAAAATTTTTTTTGAGACAGATAAAGCTTTATTTTGGTGGTATTTATTCACCGCTGGGATTTTCATTTTTTTTTGCTATGTAAATGAAAAAGTCCAAAAAGTGTTTTTTTTATAAAATGTTGCAAATAAATAATCTTTCATCATAAATCTTGGCCAAAATGTATTCCGTTATCTTTTTAGTAAAAAAAAAATAAGCCAAATTAGTTTATAACCAAAAATTATAATTTTTAAACTTTTTTTACATTTTTATTTTATTTTTTATATTATTATTTACGTTTTTTTTTTTTTTTTTTACATACTGTCACCCTAGCAGCACAGTGTCACCATGGTGACACTGTACTACTTGTGGGGGGCGGTGAAGATTTTTTTTTTCTTTTTTTACAGTGATTACTTTTACACCCATATAGGATGTAAAAGCAATCATTTCTCTTTCTCTCTGTCTGCATTCTTGAAGCCATTGAGAACTACTGAGTGAGCTGTGATTGGTCACAGAATGGTACAAGGCTGTTGTGAATAGCCTTGTACCATGTGACCTCTGTGATCATTCAAGTGACATCTTGCTTACTACTTTGCATGTGATCACTGATTGGCCAATCAGTGATCCCATGATCGGGACCTCGTACAGACGATCAGTGTTTTCCTGTGTCCGGAGAACACAGCGGGCACCGGATCGCGGTGCTGTGCGCTCCCAGGGAGCACGCACAGCTAGAAATGGCGGGTGTGCCGTTTATGAACAGCAGGCGGACGGCAAATGGTTAAACTGTTATTTTATAAAGAAGACTAACCTCACAGTAAACATTTTTGTGACTTTTTGTCCAGGAGACACCTCACATGTCATTTGTCCCCTTTGGTGGAAGAAAGATTGTCATAATCCATTGACTTGCTGTGATTGGTCACAGCAGGTCACATGGTTCCGCCAACGGGGGCCGAAACTCAGATCTGTCATCGGCCGTGTCTGAGGTACACAGCCGGTGACAGATCTCGCCGCTGCGCGGCTCTGCAGGAGTGCAATCTGCGCATGTGCGGGAGGACGTCATGGCGTCCACCCAGAACGCTGATGACACTTGCCAGCCGCCATTCGGCCATAGGTTAAATATAAACTGCTAAATACGTTTTAT